TTAAAGATTTTCGTCAGAATGGGCACCAGTTCTTTTAGCGTTCCTTTCAGTAATCCGTTCGTGATCTTGTCTGGACCTGGTGCCTTATCTGACTTTTGATTTAATATAGCTTTCCTGACTTCACTTTGTAATATATCTGGTTCTAAGTTTGAAGGGTATATCGTCGTTTTGTAGTTGTTGCACTGTTCGTTTCCTGCGATAGCTGGGTTGGAGTATAGATTTTTGTAAAAATCTGATGCTGTCTTTACTATAGTTTTGCGGTTCGTGATGTTAATTTGATTTCTTTTGAGATTAGGTACCCAAGGAGTCGCTTCACGAAGTTCTTTAAGAGCTTTTTTGGTTCCGCCTGATTCAATGATGTGTTTTTCGAGTGTTTGTATTCTCCTTGTTTTCCTGTCCCTGCGTATGCCTTTCCTTATTCCCTTACTTATTTCGGCTATTTCTCTCAGATTCCGTTTGCCGTTTTTGTTCGCAATTAGACTTTTTCTTTTATTTATAAGCTGCATGGTAGAATCACTCAAAATATATTTTTGTTTCTTCTCTTTTCTAGTATAAGCATAGCGAAGTTGATTTTGAAGTCTGGTGTATTTGTTTCTTATGTCAAGTTCTTCTGTTTCTTCGATTACTCTGGTCTGAGTTGCTAATGGGTATGATGTTGTTTCGTTAGTTTCCGCGATATGGGTTCTGCTAGACAAGTTAATGTGCTTTCTACGGATCTTAGGGGGCGCCATTTTGAGCGATGCTCTAACCATGCGATGGTTAGTATTGAAATTTAACCTAGAAATGACTGTGGTGTCTGTAAATAGCTTTGGGTGGCTACTTATAATATAATCTATTTCATTTCTGTACTTTCCATCAGGGGAGACCCATGTCCACTTGTTGTTTTTATTCTTCTTGAAGATACTGTTCGCAATTGTAAGATTATGTTCAAGAAGGAGATCTATTAATCGTTGGCCATTGATACTTCTTTTTCCATAGGCGAATTCTCCCAATATGTATTCGTCATCGTTTTGTCTAGCGCCTACTTGCGCATTGAAATCCCCCATCAGGATAATAATATTATTAGAGTAGTCATATATGATTTGAGATAGTGTATTATAAAAGGATGTATGTTCTAGTTCATCAGCTTGTTCAGTTGGTGCGTAGACTTGGATGATTGACCATATTTTTTTGAAGCTGGGTATTTTTAAATGCAGTATGGCTATTCTTTCCGTCATACCGATGAAATCTTCTATGGAGTTTTTTAAGTGGGTTTTAACTAAAAAACCAACTCCTCTTTGGCCTCCAATTTCGCCTTTATGGAACATTATATAATCTTCATGTTCTTCGATTGAATTTCCTGGTCTGCGCACTTCACTTAGTCCCAATACGTCCCATTTAAGGTCTTTCAGCGCAACTTCAAGCTCAGATAGTGATTCAGGAGTTCTTAAAGTCCTAGTATTGAGCGATGCTATGTATATATTATGTTTTTTTGTTAGAGGGTGGTGGTCTGATCTTCCCGCGGCGACCAACCGTGGTGGGAAGGCTTCTTGATTAGGTTGTTTTAGAATGTGTTTCTTCCATATTTGTTTTGCTTTTCCGGATTTAGTTGTTGTTGTTTTTGTTTTGATAGGTTGCTCGCGTGTGTTTGTTAGTTTTTTGAAATGTCGGAGGTCGAAAACGATCTATCTCTTCCTATATATTGTAGTATGTTTGGTTGTAATATTTCTTCTTGTCCTACATTGTTAGTTTTAGTCGATGTGTTTTCAAACTTGTTAGATGTGTTCTGTTTTTTCTGTGTAGACAAGTTGGGAGATACAGTTTTATCTCTCTTCCTTTTTTCGCACTGGTTATTCTGCAGTTTTTTAATCACCAATTGGTCTCCTTTCAAGAAAGATTTGTTTCCCTTTTTCCATTCTTCCTCTGTTTTTGGCTGTAGTTGTTTTCTAGTTTCTAGTACCTTCTTGGTGGGGTTCTCTTTTTCAAATGTGCCTTTTAATACTATAAGTTTGTCGTATCTTATAAAAGCAGTATAGCCTTTCTCCTTTTCTTTCTGTAACTGGACTTGGAGTTCCTTCCGCCTATTAAGGACTTCAATCGGATAATCCTCCTTAATGTAGTACTGAGTATTTTCTAGACAGGATTTGTTTTTCAGAATATGTAACTTGTAACTCATGCTGTTAAACGTTATAACAACCGGTCTTATGTTATCACCTTTCTTTCCCAACCTTCTAACAAGTTCAATGTTATTTTTGTCACATGGAAATTCAAAGAACATGTTTATTATATTTACTATAATATTCTCTAATTCAAAATAAGTATTCTCACTCTCTTCTACTCCGAACATGACTAGGTTCTTTCGTCGTGAATGCCTTTCTAAGTTATTTAATTTGACTTTTTGTTCTTCAATAGTTTTTTCTAATTGTTCGTTTTTCAATTCAAGGTTTGCAAATTTCTCGTGAATGTTGTTAATTATTATGTTTTTTAAATCCTCTTTCATGTCCAACATATCTTGTTTTTGTTGCTTGATGTCTTGCTGTAAGTTCAGTAACATTTGGTGAATTTCTTCCATAGTGTATCAGTGCCCTCTATCCGAAGAAATATGAATTTTTCAACGAAGTTAAAATTATTATCGATAAATTTATATTTTCCTAGTTCTAGAAATTTTACTAGATGGGGGCGTTTTGACGTATTTGTCTTACGATATTTGTTTTGCAGGAGCAAATAAAATCCATAAATAGTGTAAGTCAGATTATTCGAACTTGGATCGCTTATCACGTAGTCGATACCCTTATATAAGTGGCTATCTGAGATTATGATGAACTGAACCAATGTTTGGTATAGTAGATAATTTTGTAACCAGTTCGTATGGATGACTAATGTCTGTTTAATATTTGTATTTCGTTTTGCACTAAGATTTTTCAGAAGACACTTTAGTCACTTTTAGCACTAGACGTCACAACCTCACAAAAATGCAAGTGTCATGAATCCGTTTGATTGTTGAAAGCGTGGCACGTCAGTTGAAGCCTCGTTAAAACACTTTAAAATCCTGATGTGTTTCGTTCTCTTGAGCACTGACTATACATTTATCTATTACTTTGTAGTATTATTAGACGTTTTAACACTTATTAAAGTCGCATTGATCACAAGTAGTATTTTTTTAAAAGAAAGACAGCACGGAGCCTATGTAGGTTGTTGCGCCGCGAGCAACCGTCAGTTTCTTTATATGTTTTAAATAATTTTGCATGCTTCTTTACAGTCATAACTGCTTCAAAGATATACAAACTTGGTACTGTTTATTAATACCTGAATTTTATTCACTGAAAACTAAAAGCTTTGAGTATTCCGCAGTTTCCATTTTAAAGAACTAATGAATAATTAACTCCCGCATTTCAGTATTAATAACACTTTTAAATGCATACGTTTTTAATGTGAATATTAAATGTGAACGCTAAAGCAAACCGGGTCACTTTCATCTTTTAATCCAAACGTATTTAATTTTTTATTACTTTTGCTATACTATATACCATACGAGTCAGTAAACCTTTGTGACTAGGTTGGAAAAAAAGTTTATATTTGATAAAACAGTTGTCAGCTTGATAGCATACAACAAAATGGATCAGATAAAGGTTAGGAATTTTTTCAGGCACATCTATCTTGGTGTGTCGTGTGTCGGTGGCATTGGGAATACAAAACGTCTGTTCTTAGATGTGTCCGGATTTGTTAGTCGGTATGTATAGAATAAATATATATTATAATACATGACAATGACAGCCATTCGGCGGCTTTACTTTAATGTGCCCAATGGGTACGTCAGAAGGCGATATCTTCCGCTGGAACTAACCTTCTTAAAAGGGCACATACTATTACACGCTACGTTACACTGTATTACATCAGTCAACGATTTACATACGTTAACGGCCCTTTTTTAATTGTCTAACAAAAGTTTTACTAGTGCCTATAATAATATTTAGTTAATTTTTTCATTATGTATTTTTTTTTAATATATAAAAATAACAACTATAACGGCGGCGAAAAAAAAACAGAAAAAACAGCGTCTCGCTGCTATATATAAAAATGAATCAAAAAAATGAATAAAAATAAAAGCGTGAATCCTATATATAAAAAAGATCAGTGGCGCTACTTCTCTTAAGCTCAGGTTTCAGTATCTGTTCCATATTTATATATAAAGTTAGGTTATATAACTCGATTGACGAGAGATTTTAAAATATCAAATTAATGTGCTGTATGGAACTTAACCTGAACATAACGTACAATATCAAGGCTAATCAATAATAGATTAAAGTTTTATAAAAATAATTAAAAATGATGATGAAATGAGATTAAAGGAATTCAAACTACAAATTATAAAGTTCATACCATTCACGCTTAAGTTTACTGAAATGTATCAATAAAACAAAATTGTAATGACAACTGTAGCTGGATAATTATTATTTATTACATGATCATACGGTAGTGAGAAGGTAATTAGTATTACTAGCTCTACCTTTTTCCCCTAAGGAGTATTATGTAGTTACAACGTAAAGTGTATTTTAAAAGAGGGTTCGAAATTTCGAATAACTATCGAAATATATGGAACAAACTGTTCCTAAGAAATTGTTAAGTATAATCTATATTTTGCTAATTCTTTTTTTATTATAATCCATGAAGTACGAGGATAGTTATTATGGAGAGAAAAATTTAAAAAAATTGAGTAAAAAAGTCTAAAAACAATACTTTTCTTTATTCCCATACAAAAGATACGTAAAAGTCAATTTGATATTTAATACCATACCATAAAGTTCAAGTGTTAGTGAAGGGGTTCCGGGAAGGTGAACTTTCTTTTTTTATCTTACTAGCTAGACTGGTGTCCCGATTAGCAGAATAAGTATTAAAAAAAAATAAAGAATCGACTGTTAGGTATGATGTTCACAAGATAGTCGGTAATATTTTTGCCCTTAAAAATTTAACTAGTCTACAATATATTAGACTAAAACAAAACATAACTTTATGAATTTATATTAAACCTTTACAACCAACATAACGAAACCGTAAATTACCAACATGTAAACAAAAAATGCTGGGACACTGCCAAGGACAACGCTATTTTCTCTTAAAAATCTCAAAGGGCCATGAAATAGTATCCGCCTTCGAGATTGCGTAGATATTTCTGATTCTCCAGACGACACCCTCAAGGAATCACCTTCACCAGTTGGTATAGAAACGGGCTTACTGTACGCTTTAAGAACTTCAAAAGTGTCGGCTAAGATTTTTGGGTGTTTTACTTTCAGGATCTTAGTTCTAGCACTCCCTTCTGATTGGTCTTCTTCGCTCAGTTTGATCATTAGATTGTCTATCACATAGCTTTGTATAATATTACATTGCATGCCTTCATCAGTATTTGGTTCTCCTTTCTCGATTGCATCTACATCGCCAGATTCGTTTGGTTTCTGAAGTGACATTTGGTTAGCAAAATGTTCTATTTTATGCAACGTCGTTTTCAGTTCATTTAGTATCTTGTCACTCAATGATTCCTCTAATCTTTTTATAGCTAAATCAAGTGTTACAGATATTTTTTCCCACATATCAGGAAATGGCTGAAAATTTCTCGACTCTTCGGAGCACGATAACTTTTGTACATTTTCTCTCTGTGTCAGTATTTCTTGAATAGTAGACTCATTCGGTAAAGTGACGGTCACATTCTTTTGAAAATTATCTTTAATGTCAAAGGTCTTCTTAATTAAATTTTGTGTAAACTTATCCATAAACTGCTGACCATCGCCTTTACTTTTTAATGGATACAGCTTACGCATGTCATCTGCTATTATCACGTGATTTGTGTCTATTACATACTCTACATCACTGGTCGTAGGTATGGTATTGGAAATTGGACTAGGTTTTACAGAAGAATCTTCTAGCTTTTCATCGGTACTGGAATAATATTGAGAACGTGATGTCAAAGAGCACATGGAATCATCAGTCTTGTTTATACTTGATCCAGTATTGTGTAAACGTTCATCATTACTACTCGAAAATCCAGAAAATACAGAACCTACAAGTGTTGTTTCACTATTTTCATTTTCATTATAAATTTTAGAGACCAGATACGATTTACTATAGTCTGTTGCTGGATTGGGAATATTTTTTGGTAATACAAGAGAATTTGATTTATTCTCATTAACTTTACAATTATTAGTACAATTAATTTTTTCTTTGCTGCAAGTAACTATAGGACTCCTCTCCATTTGCACTAAGGCAACGTTTATACAATCAGTCTTGTATGGTGTAATAACGTTATCTAGTATTAAAGAACTTTTAGATTTGGAAACCTGAATATGAATGCCACTTGGGACGTTTATTGTTAAATTTTCAGCTGTATTACAAAAAATACTGCTGTTTTTTGCAGTTTTATTCACTTCTTCCAGCTGCTCATTATTTTTAGCTGAAAAAATGCTGCATTTACTTGTCAGAGGAATGATGAAATTAGAATATAAATCGTCATGTTTTTGTTGATGTTTTAGAGTTGTGTTTGAGTTTTCTGTCGGTAAAGATCCAACATTACTACATATCGTTAAATTACTTGAATCAGATGTATTGCGAATTGTGTCTGTACTTGTATTCGATGAACTTATATCCCCTAAACTGAGGTTACTGTTAAATAAAACGTTTGATTGGTGATTTTCTTCAAGGATTTTCTCAATAGTGTCTTCGGTTACAGACTGTTTTATTTTGTCATCGTCGTTGCTAACAGTCATATTGTCAATTATTTCATTCAAAATATAAGTTATCCTACTTATAGTATTATTGTTTGGATCTCTAACACTTGATACCACTGTTGAATTAGTTATGGTCGCATCAAGGTTTGTGTCATCATTTACTGCTTTCATTGTATCTTCATTTTCATTTAAAGAGAATGCTACGACGTATGTAGGATGACATTTAGGAGGATGTGCTTTTGCCGATTTAGGTCGGTGTTCTTTATAACTTGAACTCATCTTTTTTTATCTAATATCTGTAATAAATAAAATAAAGTTTATTTACACGTAATGACCACAAGTATCTTACATAAAAATTTTTTTTATAAAAGTCCTATGACTTTGTGACTTTTATGAACCAATGTTCAACGCCAGTATATTTTTTATAAATAATAAAACATTTTTTTTTTTTTAAGATTTATATTTTTTTTTCATTTAAAACCCCAAATCAGCCATTGATATTGCATACATAGAAGAATTATTTTTACTAATCAATATTTGTGGAGACTTAGTCGAACTATCTTTAGATTCTAGGTATACTTTCAATATAAATACATAAAAAAGCCACATTATTATTAATATTGGAATCCATAAAAGAAAGCAGTAAAAACAACCTTCTTTAAAACCTATACTACGTTTCGTAACAATAAATTTTTTTTCACTTGTTCCATCTACTTCTGTAAGTGAATCTGAATTTTCTGCGTCAGCTTCTACATCGATACAAGTTTTTCCGGGCATTGCACAACAATTACCAGCACTACATTGCACACGTTTCCTTTCTACCTCAGAATAATTTATATTGGGACAATGTTCTACCTTTAATTGTCTAAAGTTATCATATGGATTTTCACAGCCGCACGTTGAGTACATATTTGCATATGGAACATTATGATTACAAGAATTGTACACGCATTGCTTTGATTTTATGCATTTGTCACAATAGAATGCTAATAATTTTCTGTTATGGTTTATAACCGGCACATCAAGTAATGATTGTGATTTAGGGAAAGACTCAGTTTGCAACAAATCATCAGCTCTCTTTTCAATTAATTTCTTAGGCTTAGAAGTCAAATCGTGAATTTGAAGAAGAGATTCGCTTTCTATTATTCGATACGAAGTACTCTTTTTTGTTAATCGAGGGTTGAAGTTAATTTCTTCAATTTCTTTTTTTGGTGATTTTTTTTCAAATTTCAAGTCTGACGTTTTTACATTCTTTGTTTCAGTGGTAACACATTGTATTGCAATAGAATTTTTCAAAACTTTTGAAGTGGACCTATGAGGAGTAATGATTTCTGTCGCTGTGTTTCTTGTTAACTTGTTATTACCTTGATGTTTAGCCATGTGCTCAGCTACACTAACCAGATTCTTAATAATGTCTTTTATCTCACCTATATCTTGAAAAATTTCTGTACCAGAAGTACCTGTCTGCTGATCTCTATTACGTGGAGATACTGTGGTATCTTTTTGGCTTAATAAGTACCGATTGTGACTCATTGCACCATCCAGAAGAGAAATTATTCTGGACTCATTTTTGGAAGACCTTGAGATATCACTAGATCTAATTCCAGAATGAATATTCTTAGTATGTAGATTTACAGGGTTATTATTGCATATTAATTTTGTATTATTTTTAATTTTACCGTTGCCATAAACATTTTCCGGGGAATAATCGTTTGGTTTATTGCTATTATTATCAGACAATATATTAATATGAATATCAAATCTTAAATCATTGATACACTCACAATTTTCAAAATATGTGAACACATCTTTAATATGCTTAAGAACTTTATTCCTTCGTGTTTTTCGGGGCACTCGTTTGCTTTGACATGAAAATGTTTTTTTTCCTTTGCTAAAATGGAATGTAGGGTGCGTTGTTTGCCTTTTAATTGTTTTATTTTTATGTTGTTTGCATTGATCGTTAAGTTTCATTTTAGCGCTATGTGACATGTCCAAATGTTCTTTACTTCTATGCACTCTTTCAATATCAAGCTGAGAGATATTTTCTTTTTGTTTAGTATCTTCAATTAAGTCTATACTCTCGTTTTTAGTTAAGAATTTAATAGAACTAACAGTAGGTGTAGGTTCCTGAACAAAGCAAAACTGTTTCTGGTCACTGATTTTTTCCCATCGTAAATTTTGATACGTCGCGCAACGTTTTGTTAGTGATTCTGTTTTTATTTCTAAAATATTGCAACTGGATGAAGTAGAAAGTAACTTATTAATTGAACTTTTATGGTAGTTGAAGTAAGTTCTGTTATACTTATTTTTATTATTGTTCGATAATATTTTGGGAACGCTTAATGTTGATATTAGTTTCACCCGTTGTCCTGTCAATGGTACGGTCTGTGATGATAATTTTCTACGAGACTTTATACTAAGTTGCCCCTTTTTGCTCTTTGATGTTATCGAATTCGTGGTCTGTGTCTCATTAATAACTTCAACATCTACAGTATAAGTTCCTGATGAAGAATGTTCTAGTTCTACTTTATGCAATAGAGAGTCAAGTACAGTCGCAATCTTTTGTTTCGTTTTATCGTTTTCTAACAAGTACTTTCTTATCCAGTCATTTAATAAAGTTTTTAAATTATCAACAACTAAAGTCGTAAGATCTACTTTAAGATGAGCACTGTCAATTTTGCCTTGGCTATCACCACATGCACTGCAATCGGCTTTTGACTTTTCGATGACTTCTTTATCTGTATTATTTATAGAATACTTAAATCTGGCACATGATGACTGTCTATTTTCAATTTTACTTTTCTTTTCTTTAACGTACCTTCTTAAAATACAAATATCAGTTTCAACACTCAGATCACGCTTTATCGTTCCTCCGTAATCATAATAGTTGTTCTTTTTTATCTTGTTCTTTAGCTGCATTATAATACTCTTTGTAACTGCTTCAGAAAAAGCGGAGCACGTTTTAGAGTATGTATTGAAGGTATGGTTTGAGTTTTTAAATAATAGTTGTGGCTTGTCCTTTATCCTTCCCATGTTTGATGTATCTTTATGCTCTATCAGCTATCAGTCTTCTGTAATTCAAAATGTTTGAATACTATTCAACGTCTTCTTTTTGATATGTCTCTAATTTTTAATACAATGTTTTGGATAATATATTTCAAAATAGAAAATTTTAATTCATTTAAGTAAAAAGAAGTCTCATACATATCACGAAAATAATGAACACCAAGCGGAGTTTTAACTTTAGATTATATATATTATATATAGTTTAAATAATAATACTTACATTTACAGTATTAAATTTAACCATAGCTTTTCAAAAGGATAAGAAATATAATGTCGCAAAATTTTTAACAGAAAATAATCACATGATTCAAAAATTTTACATTACGTGATAGAAGTTGTCAATTTGTACTGTCAAAAAGTTTCTGAAATAGATTTCTAATTTGGCCAGTATTACACGTTTGTCATAGAATATTTTGTGACCGATTTTTCGATCGGAATGAAAAAAAATCATTTCAATTTGTTTGTAAGCAAACATATCTTTACCAGAAGGTAAAATAAAGCCCCTTGACTATGTCAAATTGGTCAATATTAGGTACGACATATCTAATCCAACTCCTCTAGTGAATCAAAATAGAAGACAAAAGACTTTGAATTTCATTTTACAACTCACATCTACATTTAATTATACCTATTGATTTCAAAGTTAAATACAAAAAAGGTGAAACCAATCTAACCAACCGTATAATGATTGTTTAACATCACTCATCGCCTTCACGTAATAAAAATAACACGCTTCCTCTCGTATTAAACTAGGAAAATCGGTTCGGTTCGGATCCTGCTATAAAATACAGGTAATGATCAATAAAACAAAACAAATGGTTTAGGAATGAGTGCTGTGGGATTGTCTAAGTATAAGCGATTTCTACAAGAGATAAGTTTACGCCAAAATTGTATCGTGTGTATGTAAGTAGGTATTAAATAAACTACTATTTTTAATGATCCAGTGCATAGGCTAACTCGCTCTTACAACTTAATTACTAACATAAATGAAAATATTTTACAAATATCTTCCTACTTACCGTAATTGTGTGTATCACGCTCTTAATGAGGTTTAAGTTTCTATATTTTTGGGCTGATTGCTTGTGTTAATTTCTTTCCCTGCTAGTTTGAAATGTTTATATTCTAATATAATTGATGTATATGAGTATGTGTGTAAAATTTGTGATGTCATATTTTCTTGTATATTTTAAGCATACATGTTGTTTTAGGACTTATAAATAAATAAATAATAATGATATTACTCTATATGAATACAATATTGGGGATGTAGCAATCGTTTTCCGAATGTAATATTAAAATTATACATTTTAAAAGCTTAATATGCTTCTAAAATTTAAAATAATTTAATCAATTCTATTCATATTATATCAAACAAATTTGCGGCTCCCTTCGAAAGAATCGGATTATGTTGTTTTATTAAACATATTTAATAAGAAATGGAAACAAATAATAGAAACTGTTTGAAGTTTATAAGTGACAGAAATATTTTTGAAAACACTGATTTCTTTATACGATAATACATGTTAAAATGTAAGATGACTAAGGATTTAAATTAAATTAAGGATTTTTGCTTTTGTAAAGGTTACTTTAAGGTTCCTTAACGCCCGAATCCACTATCTATCTATCTCAATCCCTAATCCACCAACTGAGATAGTAATCCAAATGTTGTAACAAGTGTGCCAATAACCAATCGACGGATTGAAATAGCCATCTGTCGATACAAGCTATCCATGGGAGGTCGTATCGGTGTCTGTGGATAGACAGTTGTTGTATGAAAATGACAGTTGACGAAAGCTTGATTTCAACAGTTAATTATTTTAACAGATTTTAACTTACACCAGTTCTTTAAATAATTAAAAAAACTTTTTGTTATGTTTTAAACATACACATGTATATTTTAATGTTAGTATGTTACATTGATTATCAAATATGAGTGAAAACTCGGTAAAATGGAACGACAAGGAGCATTTTATCCGTCGCCAAAAATGGATTGTCTTCGTAGGGTTTGTTTATTGGGATGCAGATAGGAGATCGATCGACGGTCTGGTTCAGATTGTTTTCAATCTGAGATTGTAGATTAATTATTGGGTTCGGGCGTTAACCGACAAATAAAACTATTTACAATGTTTTGAGTTTAGTTTTTAAGTCCACTAAAATTGATGTTCATATTGAAAACTTTTTCTTTACGAGAAAACCGTTTTAAATCAAACAGTTTTGAACTGTCTCCTAACTAACCTGATTTCTGTTAATAATAATAATAATCTTATTCATTTTTCACAAAAACTTAGCACATAAACAAGTGACAGTTAAATACTAAAATAATTATTAAAAAGTAAGTAAAACAATTAATAAAAATCTCCGCTCTCAGTAGGACCACCGCATGTGTTGGTATTACGAGCGTGTTTACTGTTTGAACATAAAAGTAGGCTGTCGCTATATTTGCCAAGCTTTTGTGCGAAGAGAAATGCTTTTCTGAAGTGATGTGCGCTAAATTGAAAATAACAATTCAGGTTTCCTGGCGTTACAGGTTAATACTTATTATTTGTTTTAAAACTGGACACATTTACCGTTAATAACTACAATTAATTTATAATTTTTTTTCAATTAATGATTATATTAAAATTATTGTATATTGTATTTAAAATAAGATTATGTCATTATTTTCAATGGTTTAATATTAAATATTCATATTAATATGTTGCCTGATAATAACAGTAATATATATAGTACAATAAATTATTCTCTGGGAAATGCATATGACAGTAAAATTAAAAATTTATTTGCAAAAACAAACCCTCATTCTTTTAATTCTGATATCTCAAGGTCTTCCAAAAATGGATGGTACATTGAGTCACAATCGGTACGGTACTTATTAAGACAAACAGATAACATAGAAACACCACGTAATAGAGATCCTGTCATCAATGTATTACATTGCCGGACAATTCCTGGCAACCTTGATTACTAAGCTATGAATTGTAATCTATCTATCAATAATGCTTCGAAATTATCTGGTATCGTTTTCACTAAGTACCCGTTGCGGGCTGTTTATGGTTATTATAAGACGTGACAATGGTTTTCGATTACAGACGCCGAAATTTGATAGTCTCTGAAGTTAGGAAAATTTCGGAATATTGTCCGAATCGTAGGAAATACTAGAATGGTTGGTTTGTAGAATGTAGGTTTTAAATAATAAAATAAATTATCAGTGGTGCTACTACCTTTTTAGGTCTGGGCCTCAGATTTCTGTATATTTTTCATGATCTTTTGTTAATCTAATAGGCTAGTAGGTGATCAGCCTCCTGTGCCTGACGCACGCCGTCGACATTTTGGGTCTAAGGCAAGTCGGTTTCCTCACGATGTTTTCCTTCACCGTTCGAGCGAATGTTAAATGCACATAGAAAGAAAGTCCATTGGTGCACAGCCGAGGATCGAACCTACGACCTCAGGGTTTAAAGTCGCACGCTGAAGCCACTAGGCCAACACTGCTCTGCACTGGTTTGTATGTTTTAGTACATATAGTCATAGTATTGTTGACTAGATGACCCGATGAACTTTGTACCTATATTTGTGTCAAAACTTGATACAATTTCTTTTAAACAGATCCAATCGATCGGACCTCATACTACGACTATCAAACACGGCTGAAGGCGTCTATAAATATACGACAAAGTGACAATTTTATATCAAAAATACATTAATTATTTCCTAGCAAGTTTTCAAAATGTTTGTTAACTTATTATGTATGTTTCCGACTGTTTAAACACACAGAACTTACACAAATATTTCAAGATCAAAATTAGCCATCGGTCCAGCCATTCTCGAGTTTTATCGAGACAAATTAACAGATTCATTTTTATATATGGAAGGTAAATTCAAGACATAATTATTGTATAGGCCAACAACAGTATTGTATAGAAAAAAAAATATTTATAACAACATAAAAATAAGCATATAAATCAATAAATATATACCAATAAACTTCTAATCTATAGTGCTACCAAATAGGCCTACTTTCGTAATATTTTTTATCTTCCCACAGAAATTTCTTCCCTTAGGAAAACCTTTACTGTAGAAACTCCAACCAAACTGTATACACCACATGTCACACGTCTGGATAAATATCCCTAATTTTTCTAACCCCGATATTTGTCGAAATGACATATTTTTTCATGAAGAAAAATGTTTTTTTCCCTAAACACATAAATCCATTAGATCATCTCGAAAATATATTGTTGACCGAATGTTTACTTTGTTATACTACCATAACCATGGCTCAGTGGTTGTACTTTGCGTGTAACCAGGAGGTTCTGTTTCGATTCCAGATGAATTTCTTTTTATTGCCTCATTGGGGTCTACGATAATTTAAATGTTCCTGAAGCTGACCTTTTCTACAGTCTTGTCTTACTTAAAAGGAGTAATTCCTTAAGTTTACATTTAAGACTTATCGACATAATTTGTGTGACACACACATTTATTCGAAATTATCTGTTACATATCTTTTAAATCAGCCATCTGTACTTACCAAGCCGTAACAATTATTTTTTCGCCGGAAATCAAATCGAGGTTATACGCCGTATGCGCTGGCTATAAGCTACAAAGGCACATGAGCGATGTAATTATATTACATACGTAAGAACTCCTTCTTTCATATTAATAAAATAACATGTTATTATTTCTATTAAAATTTATCAATACCAGAAAAGTGGCGCCTGTCCGCTTTCATGTGATTCATTTGTTTTATTCCGTGAATTCGGACATGAACTTGCATAATAATTGAGCGAGATATTTCATACTAGATCATAATGAAACAAATTAATTTCGCCGCTATTTATTGCCCGGTGTAATCACATTGCTAGGCATTTTACTGTTAAATGCGTGCTTGTTATTTCCAATGTTCTGTTCGTGGAATTAATTAATAAAAACCACCGAAACTTCAAATATAGATTCGATGATTGTGCCCTCTC